TTTTATAAATTTTGGATATTAACCTCTTATCAGATATCTCGTTGACAAATATCTTCTCCCACTCAGTAGGCTTCCTTTTTGTTTTATTGATGGTTTCTTTTGTTGTGAAAAGTTTGTTGTGTTAAGTTTGCTGTAGTACCATATTTTCATTTTTTTCTTTTACTTCCCTTGCCCGAGGGGATATCTCAGTAAAAATATTACTGAGGGTAATGTCTGCAAATTTACTCCCTATATTTTCTTCTAGGAGTTTTATGGTCTCAGGTCTTATACGTACGTCTTTAATCCATTTTGAATTTGTTCTTGTATATGGCGTAAGGAGGTGGTCCAGTTTCATTTTTTTGCATGTATTCATGCACATTTTTAGACCCATGCTTGCAGTTTAGGATTTTTACTAATTACGGAGCAGGTGAACTTGTGGAATACTTCATGGTCTGGGTAGGACTGGATTTGCAACAGCCTAGGGGAGGCCAGCTCAGAAAAAAAGCTTTCATTGCATCACATTCTTTGTGGGTGGGTGGTAAGAGCTTTGTAGATGAATTCTCTGACGCCTCTGTAGGTTTTATATTTATGTGTAATGTGATCTGAGTCTGTGAATCAATAACATCATAATACATTTAAAAAAATACAAGAAAATCTCTAAATCCCCCATGGACTATTGCAAGAGTTGCTAATGTTGATCAGGAGATTTTGTTAACGTAGGCTATGCACCTCCGTGTCAGAGGGTTGCATTTCACTAGCAGAGTGAAGGTCACAATTTCCTCCATTCAGATTTGGAAAGCTGAACCAACATCCCTGGGTTGTAGGTGTCCAATAAGCAGACCCCAGTGGAGAGAGTCTTGTTGAGACCTCAGAAGGCATCTTGGGGTTTTTCTGAGAGCTGGGCTAATCAACAGACATGTCAGAGTTGGCTTCTGTTTCAGGCACCCATTGCTGCGGGGGGGCAGGTAAGTGCTTTAGTACCTTTCAAGGCTGCTCGCTGGCAATGAGAGGTCAGGGAGCAGACGGAGCGAGCTACAGATGAGAACACTGAAATGGGAACATAAAGATCTGCAGAAGTTCTAGTTTTGCAACTAACAAGCTGTGTGACTTTTGACAAACCTCAAACTCCAAGCTACCTTATCCACAAAAGGAAAATAAGCTAGACAATGATAAAAACAGCTATAAAAAATAAATTTCATTTATGAAGCCCTGATGACATGCCAGGCACCTGGCTAAGTGGTTTTCAAACTTTGTTCCATTGAAATCTCATCCTACACTATGATGACTGCTCCCTTTTCTAACAGAGGAAAGCGAAACTGAGCACGCATCAGCAACACAGAGCATTAAGTGGCTGAGCCAGAATTCCAATCCAGGCCATGTCCCTTCAGAAACCCTGTTCTTAACCACTGAATTACAAGGTCTCCCTCGTGTCTGTGATATTGGAGGACTCTTGTCTCGATGATAGAAAGAAACCCATCCCCTCAAAGCTATGA